TTCCCACCCCCTACTGATGACTTTTGCTGTGACTCTAACACAGTCATTTAACCTTGCCGCCTGTTTTTTTCTTGCTTACCAAGCACAAGTCCCTGCTCCCTGGGAGCAGAGACACAACTCTTGGGTAATCACTTGGGTGCTGAGGGGTGTATGTCACCCCTCGGAGGACTTGAGGGGCTGCTGGGTGTGTTATGGCTCTTCTGTGAGCACCTAAGCATCGCCTGCCTGTGGCTTCAGCTTGGGGAGAACCCGACTCTGTAATAAGTAAAATAATGTCTCTGGGTGAAAATGATAGGCATCGTATAATTATAGAACAAAGTGCATATTGTTTTCTGGATATGAATACCAGCTACAGAAATCAAATTTACCTCATTGGATGTGAGAAAATTACTTTAACAATTGCTTTATAAGAAGCTACATAAAGCTAAGCCGGCACTCCTTCCTCTCCTGAATGTTCTTTGAGATGCATCTGAATACTGCTATCAACGCTTGATTGCATCTCTGTACTTGTCTCTTTATGGATGGCTTTTTTCTTTTTCTTTTGCTCGGATGCAGTAGCAAAATCAAGGTTCCTTACAGAAATAAACAGATGCCAGAGTAGACCATTCTTTGTATTGATACATATCTGTTTTGTGGGAAAGTGACAATTTTAAAGACATGGTTCTTGCCTTTTAAAAAGTGATTTTCTAAGTAACTGCCCTTAATAAAGAAAGTGATTAAATGAGACTTAAGTGTTAAACAATAGTTAAACAGAGATGAGATGGGGGATACTGTCAGAGTGATCCATGGGAGTCAGGTATAAGTCATACGAAACTGAGCCCTCAATACTGAATACTTAGTGACTAAATGTTCAATGCAAGGACTCCAGAGTGATATTAGAGTTTAGGTTAATGATACTGCCAATGTTGCAAGTTCAGACTCAGTTTAGAAACAATTATTCAGAGTTTTTCCAACGTTACCTTCCTCAGGAACAACCCTAGCTCTCTTTAGGGGAGGAGGCAGTAAAGGGGAGGTCTCTCCCTCCACAATCCTTCAGTTCTGGCCCCTAGAATGCCACTAACTGTAGCATCTCACCTGCATAGTTAAACACAGCAAACCTAAACACAGAGTGACATGTGGTGCCTCGGTGATGGCCATTCCTCAGACATGTCTGGGCTTCCCCGGCCCTTATCCAGACTAAGGCAGGACCACATGCACACGTGGGTGAGGGTACACAGGCATCCACATGGGGAAGCACACACATCTACATGGACACGGGGTACACATGATGTGCACGCATAAGTGCACACACGTATCAACACGCTGGCTCTCCAGTGCTGACCTCCCTGACCAACACTGAGGTTATGGTGCCATCAGTTTCTTCCAGACCCTCATAGGACAGACTTGCCATCATGCAAAGACCTGAAGAACCATCCTCTTGCTCAGAGTTCTCTCAAGAAAAAGAAGTCTCTGCAACTTGAAGCAATCTCTAAGCAGCTGACTGAGCCCCCCGGAAGAGGGCTGTCGTGGGCAGCTGCGTTCATTGTGAGCAATCGGAGTGGGCCTGTTCTCCTGCCTGTTCCCAGGCTCAGGCTCAGGAGAGGGAGTTGGAGGCATGAGAGAAGCCACTGCTGGGGGAGCACCTGGCTCCTCCAAGGCTCAGAGTGTGTGTGGTGCCTGGCTGACTTGGGTGTCCTCTGGTGTGCGTTCAATCTCCCCCTCTGACTGTGGGTGCCAAAGGGGAGGCCCTCATCTCTTCACACATGACTCATCTCTTCACGCATGCCTCTACTGTCCTCAGTGTGTCATGGGGTTCCTGTGCATAACTGGAGCTCAAGGAATATTTTCTGACTTCAGGGAGGTGTGTTAGCCTAGCATGCTGCCTCCTGGGGAGCCCTGAGAAGAAGGATGGTGAAGAATTCATATTACCCAGGGAGGTCTGCCCTTGCCCTTCTTGGCTTCAGGGAGGCAATCTCTAGGCTCTGGAATGTCATGCCTCATAGGGGTCTCTTTATCTGCCCGGGGTCTTTGGGCTAGGTGGTATCAGTTCTGCCTTCGGAGGGGCTAGAGATGAGAGGGCAGTCACATGCGCAGTATTTGAATGAGCTCCAGCAAACACTTTGGACACCAAGGCCTGGGTGAGCTTCTCTGGGAAACTGATGCTGTGACAGAAATGTGTCTGTGAGTCCACTGAGAGAGGAGACCAGAGGTTCCATGTTTAGATCCTTCCTGGGCTCTGCCCTGTGGGCCTCGTTGCGTGGCTGGGTTTAATCTGTACTCCTTTTGCTGTATTAAACTTTAACTGTGAGTATAACACTTACAATGAGTTCTGTGAATTTTTCCAGCAAATTATTGAACCTGAGGGTAGTTTTGGGAACTGCCTTACTTGCAGTTTATGTCAGAAGGGAAGGTGTCTTCTGTGGAAGAGCCAACTTCAGTTGGCTCAAAAACTCAAATGCGGAGGTTCTGACCTAGTTGTATGGGTGATGACATTGCACAGAGGGACAAACCTGAATATCTGGGAATACACAGGTGCCCAGGCACCTGCAACAGAAGGCTCGTGCCAGAGACATTGCTCTGAGCTCTCCACTTGTCCACCCTCAGATGCCAGAGGGCAAATACCTCTTGACCTGCAAGGACTCCAGAGTGTTATGTAGAAGGGGTGGCAGCTAATGGGGCCCTCTTGTGAGGTGCAGGCCTGAGCCCTTGAATAGGGCTTTGGCTCCTGGGCTAATTAGCCTGGAAAGCCCAGCTGGGGTGGGAAGGGACCCAGGCTCTAGGCTGCCCTGCAGCAGTCACCTGAGGTTCCAGACCACCTCACACCTGCTGCTTTCCTTTGGGAAACCTGCAACCCTCTTCCTGCGGACCCTTGGATCATGAATCCCCAGGCTGTGAAGGCCTTACCAAGGGTACCAGCTTCTGACTCTAACCTGGACCACACTCACAGTGTCCTTGAGACACTGACTCCTGTCCCTGAGACACTCCAGAAAGGATTTAAATAAATTTCCTTCTATTGCTCATTTTAGGGACCAAGAAGACTTTCAGTTAGGAGTTTTCTCCTGACACGGTGTTCAAAACTCTTACACATTGTTGGAGAGGGTGTAAACTGGTGCAGCTTTTGGAGGGAGATTTGGCAAAACCCATAAAAATTGAAAATGCATCACTTCCAAGAACTTATCTTACACGTTGATTTACACACATGTGCAAAGAGTGTGTATAAGGATGTTGACTGCAGTCTTGTTTGCTGTAGGCAAAACCTGATGCAGGCTGAATGTGAGCCCCGCTGCGTGGAGCTGGGGAGGGGGAGTCCAGGAACAGCAGTGCTTGGGCATGGCTCAGGGGCTGCAGGACCTCCTGGTGACTCCCTTGTCTTTGCTTAGTGTGGAGGGTGCCCTTGGAGGGGTGGGCTCCAATCTGTAGTGGCCAAGAGAGGCATCAGTCAGCCTCCTTTCAATTGGCTGGGCCTCTGTAGGGAGGCAGTGAGGCTCAGGGAGGAAGAGACACTCTAGGGAGTTCCTGGGCTCTGCACTCAGGGTATAGAAGCTGAATCAGAACCTTCCCGAGGGCCCCTGTACCTTGGAGATAGGGCCGGAAGTGGTCACTGAGTATAAGCCAAGCCCTGAGGCCAGAGCTTCTCCTAAGGCTTTCCCTTAAGAGGGGAAAGAGGTGATCTTGAAAGAGGCACTGAGAAAGCAAAGGCCAGAGGAGACACTTGGCAGGGCGGAGTCACCCCACAAGTTCCACAGGCTAGAATACCACAGACCCCGGCCCCCATGTCTTGGAGAGCTCTGGACAATACTCCCAATGGTTTGAACTCATTCAAAACTTGAAAGAACCGGATGTTCAAATGTTTTCAACACAAGCTACAGAGAATTGGCCAAAGCCTTTAAGTGCTTCAAGTGTAGTGTTTTCTAAGATTTTAAAACAAAATGTACCCAAGCGTCTAATGAGATTATTTTGATGCAGAGCCTACAACCACTGTCTATCGTGGTGCAAACAGCTCTCCATGCTAATCAAACGCCTCTCATCTTTTTACAATGAATTCATGACTGGTTCATATAAAGACAATAAAAATTAAATGAGTCATGAGCTCCTAAATCATTTTCTTTTGGTCTTTTTAATAACTCACTTCCAAAGAAGAGCTAGCTGAGAGCATACGCTTCATTAGAATTATTTGTTCCTGGTTTTATACCATTTTGGCATGGGGAGAAAAGTGAACCTTTTAACACATCCTTCAAACACTGCCACAAATACTTTCTTCTAATGGGTTTTGTTTTCCTGCTTTTATCACTGTACTCTGCCTGCCGACATTTGAAAGCCCCAAATAGTGAGATTCAGTGAAAAAAACCCCAAAATCAAAAAAGAGTGGCTCTTTCACGTCATTTGAAATATACCGAGTTTGTTATAGGCCTTTTTGTTTTTGTAAAAAAGAATACAATAGAAAAATGTTTTCTCTCCCTGAGAACATCGTGGCTAAACAATTCCACGTGCTGGTCTCAGAGCATGCTGCTTCCTTCTTTGCTGGGGCCAGAGGCCGGCACAGTGAGAACAGGAGCTCCACACACAATTGGATACATTCCACCAGGGCCTGGGAACTACAGACAGCTTCGCAGCAAAGACTTGAATTGCTGAGGGCTAGGTATTATGTCCCACAAGCAAGGAACCCAGAGAGTCTGGGCCGGGCATGTAGGCAGCTGTAGGCCCACGGGAAAACTCTCCACTCCTCTGAATGACCTAACCCCACGTGCCTCAGGGAGCAGGGGTATCGGGTGAGGTGATGCTTATGACCACAGAGCCCATACTGTGTATGAATGGTGACCACACTGGCAACAATGCTTGTGATGGTTCAGCATTTCAGCCATTACCTGTGACTTCTGAGATGCCCTGTCCCTATTTCTGCCCATTCCTAGGAATGTCCCCTGGCCCTCAGGATCATAAGGGACAGCGAGGAAGACAGTTATGAGACGAAGGGCAGGTGACATTGTTGAGGCAGGACATGCAGACTGGGTTTGGGGATAGTCACTTCACCCCTCCCTGAGTGGCTGCTGTGTGGGCTGGGTGGTCAGAGAGGCAGAGGGCTGAGGCCCGGAATGGGTCTGCATGTTCCGTTTCTGCGGAAAGTGAGGCAGCACTCTGTCCTTCCCAACCCCAGAATATCTAGAACGGGGGCCAGGATAGGGAGGGAATGTGTGGATCTGCCTCTGAGATGGGTCCCACCCCAGCCCCCAAAGCCTGGACCTGAGTCACCAGGAGACAGAGGCTGCAGGGGAAGCTCACCGGGGAAGGGCCGCCTGTGGGGGCACCATAGCAGGGTCTGGGGGTGAAAGCTCCCCTTCTACCAGACACAAGCACAGACACGCTCCTGGGGCAGCCTGGCCCAGGCCCAGCTCATGCAGTGCACAGGGTGTTGCTGGAGGTCACCCCTCTGCTTAGCGTCTGAGGTGGGGGCAGTGGGCTGTGACTCCTCCAGGACTGAGGTGAGGGGGCACAGGGACAGGTCAGAAGCACATCCAGACCCACAGCTGCTTCAGTAACGAAACCCACAGTCGGCCAGGAAGTAAACAAAGGCTGCACTTTGTTAGCTCTGGGGAACATGGGCGTGAGCAGACACTATTGATTTCTCATCAAACAAACAGAAGGCGGTGTCATAATCCAGAGACCCACCGCCAGGAGGGGCTGCAGTGTGTGCCCTGGGCTGCTGGTCTCCGGGGGAGCGCCTGTCTTTGGGGGCTTTACACTATTTGTCCAAAATTCTGGCCTCTTCTCAGTGGTGAATTTGTTTTCCCTCCTGCAAGCTGGGCTGGGTGAAGCTGAAGCCTCTTACAAGGCAGTGGTTCAGGTGTCCTCAGGAGACATACCAGATCCAGGCTCAGGCTGAACTTCCTGATAACCTTAAGAAGCGAAGGCTAGGTACGGTGGCTCACAACCTTAAGAAGGGAAGGCTAGCACTTTGGGAGGTCGAGGCAGGAGGATCACTTGAGCTCAGGAGTTTGAGGCCAGCCTGGGCAACATAGCGACATCCATCTCTACAAAAAAATCAGAAAATTAGTCAGGCATGGTGGTGCATGCCTGTGGCCCCAGTTACTCTGGAGGCTGAGGTGGGAGGATTGCTTGAGCTCTGAAAGTCAAGGCTGCAGAAAGCCAAGATCATGCTACTGTGTTCCAGTCTGGGTGACAGAGAGAGGCCCTGCTGTCTCACAAAACAAAACAAAACAAAACAAAACAAAACAAAACACAATACAACACAACACACCGGCAAAGTGAAGACATCATGAACTGGGCTATGGCCCCATTGGGGGAGCCTTGGGTGGAAGCCAGGGGGACCCTGGGGCACTGCTCCACTGCAGTTGTGCCATTGGGGAAGTTAGAGAGAAGGAAGACTCAGGAAACATCAACAAGGCTCCCCTCACATCTGGGCTCTCTGTTATTTGAACTCCCTCTTGGATGCATGTTTAATCTTAGGCTGGTGAGGGTTCTGGACTCTTGCAGCACATACATGTGACCATGTCACTCTCCCATCAAACATCTGTGCTTCCCCACTGCCCACAGGGCAATTGCTAAGACTCTTAATGTTAACATCCAAGGACCTTTATGTTCTAGCCTCAATCTGTCCCTGTACTCCTTTCTCACGCACTTATTCCTGTCTCCTGAAGCCCCAGTCAGAAGGGCTCCTTTCTCTGGCCCCCAGAACAGGTATTTGTGGATCCCTCACCTCCCTAGAGGCTGCAGACAGTGTCTTTGTTCTATACTCTGGTACGGAGCTTAACTCTTAGGCCCTTGGCAAGTGAGTCAACACAAATGATGATTCCCCATCTACGCCACCTGGAAGGGCCACACACAATTGGGTGACTCATAAGTGCTTCTGACGGCAACATTGCTCGCTGCAGAATCTGACTGGCTCCTTCTTACTTGGCTCCAGGCGAGAGGGGTACATTTACTTTCTGATCAAATATTATTCTGATGCTCAAGGCATGCCTGATGTTTGCAAGTCAGAAAAGTTTAATTACATGTGTCATTAGAATGGCATTCTGTAATAGCTCTGTGACTGAATTCATTAACAGAATTCTTAACAGATAAGACAAGACAAATTAACATTTTGTTGCTCATGAAAGCTTCTCATTAAGAGAGTAGTGAAAAAGTGATTAGTATTTTGTTGCCAATCAAGATGTCTCATACAAATGACAAAGAAAGGAGGCCCAAACCCTTTGTGCTCTGTAATCTCCCCGCCTTGCGTTTTCAGGGCCTGTCAGCTTTGTGCAGTGGTGTTTGGTGTCATCACCCATTACAATGCCAGTGATCCTATTTCATCTCCCACTGCCGTGGGGTGAACACGGCACTCAGACGCCTCAGGCCAAGGGACTCTGGGAGCCTCATCAACCCCAGCATCTTTGCTGCATCAGTGTTATGCTCCTGGGCTGTTCTCCCCCAACCCCAACTTCGAAAATTCCCAGTGAAGCCTGACAACCTGGCTCTGGCCCTCTTCAGCCCGATTTCTTCCAAGGGCTGCCTTCTGCACTGTCCCGAGTTGGGCTGCTGCTTATGAGCACCTCTTGGGTGCCAGGCACCGAGCTGGGTCCTTGACACGCTTCAGCCTCAAATGCCCATGTAGGAGGATCTCTTTCTCCACAGCCTCAGAGAAGTCCAACAGCTCACCCAGGGCTGCTCTGCATTTGCTAGAGGTGGCGGGTCAGTGCCTCTCTCCCTGGATGAATCAAGGCTGGTGTGGACAATGAGGCCTCCATCCCTGCTTACACAGCAGGGGCATGCCAAAGTCCTATCTGCCTGACCAGGGAGCCTTGCCCAGCTGCTGCTGGCTGCTTGTTGGGGACCCAGGCTGCAAGATGTGGAGAGTGTTATTTAGCAGCAGCAGGAGTAATAATATTAATGATAGCCACAATAGTAATAACGATAATGACAGTGATAATATTTAGCATTTATAGAATACCATACATGAAGCGCCTTACATGTATCTTCTCATTTAGTCTTTATTGGAACCCTATGAGGCTGGTACTATTATTTATCCCCATTTCACAGAAGGGGAAACTGAAGCTTAGAGCAGTCAAGGTTACTAGGCTAGTAACTTTCCAAGGTTCTAGCCAGCAAGTGGCAGACCCCAGGCCCATGCCCTTCAGTAGCAAGCTGTGCCACCCCCTTCCCTCAGGTAGGGGAGGTGTGCGTGTGTTTTGGGTGTTTGTACACATCGGGCTGGGACCCCTTCGGGGCTGCTGCTGCCCTGCTCCCTCATGTAGGGGCTCTGAGAAGCACCGGGCCTTGCCTATTTGTGGGCTACTGACTCAACCACCAGCAGCAAGTGTTTCCTGAGAGGTAACGAAGGGGCCATTAATCTCCGGTTGCAACTGCAATTACCCAAATTGCTAACCTTATAGCGAAAAGTAGAAATGCAATTGAGTTTGTGCTGGAGGCATGTTTGAAGGAGGGGAAGACCACTCCAAGTAATTTAATTAACCGATGGCAAGTACATTAAGAGGAATTTTGCCTCTGCTTTTACTTCTGATGTTTTTCAATAGAGTGCCAAGTAATGCAGATGAAATGCTCCCACAGACACAGGTGGACCTGTCCCAGTGCTGATCAATCATTACTGGCCAAGCAGGTTTCAGAGCTGGCACTGTAGCTTGTGAGCAGGAACAGCGGAGGACATCACACTCACAAATCCGTGCACCCCAGTGCAGTCCAGTCTTTACAGATAGGGCACTGCTCTTTCTCGCTAAGTTCTCAGACAAGCCCTGGCCGTCGCAGGCCCAGAGGCTGAAGGGTTCTGCCTGTCCAGCATCTTTCCAGCAAGCACCCACCAGGGTTGTGCTGCACTGACATTGAAAGCTGTATAGGACGCTGGCTATGTTCACCATGGTGGGGAATCACGGGAAACGCTCCTGTCCAGTGTGACAAGGCTAGGGGAAGAGCACTCCTTGGCAGCTTTGACCAGGGCATAACCTCCAGAATGGCCCCCTCTTTCCATCTGCTTCCCCCATGACCTCCAGGGCGTAGCTGAAGGGGCCTAGAGAGTAGGCGAGGACTAACTTCGGTGGTTCCTGCAGCATTTCGTGCTGGGCCTTTCTCCCCACAGAAGTCTCAGAGTTGGAAGGTGTTAGGGACAAGCTGCCTCAGAAAACCCCCTCCACACAAGCTGACCCCTTCCTCCTACTCCGATTGCCCTGCAGCTGCATTCCTGAACCCCTATGTAGGTGCTAGATGTGCTACAATTAAGCAAAGCCTTATTACCGCCATCCGGCAGCTCAGGGGAGCTTGTGGAAAACAAACGTTTGTTATCCATACCTGTAAATTCCTGTTATACATACACCTGTAAAATCCTGTTTCTTAAACTGCCTCCACAAGAGTCATAGGATGATGTAGTGTAAGTCTGTCACAAGTTAACAAACTATTTCTGTGCCTGTTACAAGCTGGTAAGATCACGTCAGTCCTGAAACTCCCTCATGCCCCTCTCACCCCATATAAACTCCTCCTTTTGTAAGCTCGGGGCTGCCGCCTCTGACTGTTACTGAGCAGCCCCGCAGGTTAATAAAACTTGCTTGCCTGACTTTGGTCTATTCTCCTTTCTCTCCGCCGCTTACAGAAGCGGCCTTTAAGGTCACGGAGTTTAGCTGCCTTCCTGTGGCTAGCAGCATCGCAGACCATAGTCCCTGCTTGAGTTTGCATGTGCCTTGGGATGGGGAGCTCAGCGCCTCCTGTGACAGCTCTCTCTCCATGGTGGGGCAGGTTTGATGGCTGGAATGGTGCTCCATCTCAGGGGCCCAAATTGACATCCTTTTGAGGCACACCTTGTGCTAGTCCGACTCATGGGCTCACATGGCCCAGGCGAGCTCCCTTTGCCCCAGCCCCTACCCCACCACCTTCGAGATGTTAGCAGGAACTGAGCATTCATCCCACAGGTCTTTCTTCTCTGGGCAAGCATCCCACGGTGGACCAGGTACCCTGTCCTGAGCCAACAAGGCTAGGGCTGCCCTCTCTTCTGCCTGAAAATTATCTTCCTGTTACTGTAACCCAAGACCCGTCAGCTGTCCTGGCAGCTCATTCCATGGGTGACATCACTCTGTCTTCTCACATGAACTTCTGGGAAGCCACATCACCTCTTGTGCCAAACCTGAACCAATAAATATCCTTGAATTATGTCACTTCTTTAAGTCCAATAGAAGGGAAGTATTGCTAATGTTTTTCTTATAGATTAATTCATTGAGGACCGGCAGGTTAAATTACTCAATGTCACAAAGCTGACATGGATGACGCTGGGACCCCAACAGAGGCTGCCTGGTTCCCGAGCACAGAAGCCCCCCTGCTGGCCATGCCAGGCTGCGTGAGCTCGGCTGCTTTCTTCTTCCACACAGCACCACTTCACTCATCACACCCCTATCCCCTCACCCAGCAACGCACGTCCCCAAAGTAGGTCCCCTCTGGCCTGACCTGGTTTCCCTCCACCTTCTCACCTGGCACCTGGCACTTTCCTTCCAGCCAACCCTCCCCAGTGGCTCACCTCTGCCCTCCACAGGGACCGCCCCTTCCCCCGCATGCAGCTGTCTATAGCCTACCCAGCGTTAGGGCCCAGAGCCGCCTCCTCAGGTCCTCCTGCCCGCTGTTCTCTCAGCTGTGGAGTCTGCTGTGCTCTCTGCCGGCCTGTGGTCCATCTCCCTGAGCCTTTGAGCAGGCCCACACAGCCCGTTTTCAGGGTCACCTCCAGACCTTTGCTAATGTGCCCCGCTCACAGGCCTCCTGCCCCGCCCACCGCATCCCCTCCTTTCCCTTAGCATGGACATAGCTACCAGGCTGATGGCCACCATTCATTTATTTTCTGCCATGGTGGGACTTGGATTTTCTGATACTGCCAGGCTAATAACAGGCTAGAAAGGCACAAAATGTGGGATGTTAAACTAAAACTCTCCGGCCCTGCCACTGCCCACAGCATCCTGCCCCCAGCATCCTGCCCACTGTACTTTCCTAGGGAGCTGCACTTGAGCTCAGAGTGCGTTCCAGGTGACTTACATTGATGTCTTCCAAGTCCAGGAAGTTCAGCGTGAGCCCGTTGCGCTTCCAGACGATTGGTGGCCTCAGGTCACCACGGACAGCGCAGGTCAGCACTGTGCTCAGCCCCACGGTCACTGTGGTCACACTGACCCTGTCTTCAGGGGCGAGGCTGAGCTGAACCACTTCTGCAAAGGAAAAGGAGGAGGCATGGTCAGCTGCAGGCCCAGGGAGTGCAGTCTCAACTCAAGGTGAATGGCCATACATTTACTGGGTGGAAGGGCCCAGAAGGGCTTCATGGCTCCCTGAAAATTGTTTACAATGTGCTGACTAAATGTGGAGACAGACACTTTTGCTGGGCGAAGAGCCAAGACTTAGGTCAAATGCCCAAAAGGCTGTGGTAGTCCAAACAGGTCAAGAACCATAGTTAATGTGCTGGGGATAATCTGGGCCATAGATTTGTGTCAAGCCAAGAATGCGGGCTGCCAAGGCCAGGGGCCCGCCACAGAGAGAGACCAGGGAGGTAGGGGTGTGGTGCCCCGCTCACAGCTCCCCTGGCCTCCTGGAGTCTGGGCCTTGCTAAGGGCAGCCACGGTCTGCCTGTGAGCCAACAGGTTTCTCATCCATCTGGGGTCAGTTGTAAAGGTTGCGCTGTCTGAAGTCTGGGGAATGAACTGGCTGATCTTCGAAGGTTTGTTTCTGTCTGAGGATTTGCTGAACCTGGATTTGGATTTCTGTTCTGTGACCATGCACTGTAGTTTTTAATTTTTTGAAGTATACCTCAGGCTACAGGAATTATTAGTCCTTGCCATTTTGGACTTGATAACTGACATTAGGACTGATCATTCTTCGAGCAAATGGGAAGAATCTAAGATATATCTTTGCAATCACAAGCTTTTTGAAATTCTCAGGATTTATAAAGAAATTAATCATACTCAGGCTGTTCAAATGCCCAAATGGGATCAGGCTTCCGGGGAGAGTCAGCAGTCCACTGATGGAACTGGCTCCCTTTTGCTCTTTCCCCAAATCTGTCCACTCCGGGAAGCTGGGGCAACAGCCAGAGGTGGCATGAGCTGTGGGAGGCAGGGTGGCTCTCAGTGCAGGGGGTGCTATTTTGTCTATTCTGGGATGCCAGCAAAAATGCTGGGAACCCTATTTATGCTTATGACTCTACTGGGACCTGGGGGACCCCAACAGATGTATCCCCCGCCGCCGGAATTGGAGCAGAGTTGGGAACTGAGCTCTGTTATTCAGTGGGACACTTATGAGCTGTGACCAGGCAGCAGCAGCCCCGCAGGCAGCACATCTGTGCTCATACCCTCTTGCCTTCGAGCGTGGGAGAGGGGAAGAGGGAGTGAAAACAGCCACAGGTGCAAGGCACTGCAGAGCAGCTGAATTGAAAGCAGAGCCCTGAGGTCAGATCCTGAGCAGCAAAGCCCACCCTCCTCCACAAACGCTTAGTGGCCCGGCCCTGGCCTCACAAAGACGGACAAGATACTCTAGATGCTTCATCAGTGCTGTTGGATGGATGGATGAGAAATGGAGAAAATGAAATAAAGTAGTAAAAGAGCCAACAGGTTGGTGGGGAGGGGACAACCACACACCGGAAAAATGTGACTCACAGTAAAGGAACCCTCGAGGAAAGATATGCACCGAGTGATGGATGCAGACGCAACTGGCATAATATTTTACCAACATTAAAGTGACGCATTTCAAGTTCCCCCTTAAATCACATTCTGCTCACTGCCCTCCCACCTCCAAGTCATCAGGCTTATTGCTCAGGGCAGGACAGAGAAGGCGCTAACTCTGTAGCAAGACCCAGGCTTTGGAGAGGGGGAAGAGATGAGAATTTGCTAAAATGGTTTAGCTTCCATCGTACTCTGCAGGTCCATAGGACTTAGACCTTAACATTCTCCCCAAGAGTAGAGGAGGCATCCTTTCCTCATCAGATGACCATGAGGCTCCCGTGGGCCGTGAGGCTTTGTGCTGCTGCTCCTGCCACCTGGGGCAACCACATGTGTCTGGGCAGACAGCCAGAACCACCTTGGCTCCTGGTATGGAAACAGGCCCAATTTTCCCACATAACCAAAGCTGGAGAAACTTAAATTTATTTTACCTGAGTACTTTTATCTGAAAACCAGCCATCAGGCCTCCCAGATCACTGCAGCCGGACAATGAGACACACCTGCAGCCTGTTGACCAGCTCTTCTCTTACCCCTCCCTAATTCCCCACCATCTAAATCCCGAACATAAGTCAGAGATGGATTTGAGACTGTTCTCCCATCTCTGGGCTGACGTCACTGAGAGTAAAGCCTTTCCTCCCTGGCAATACTCATCATCTCAGTGATAGGCTTTTTGTGACGTGAGCAAGCAGACCCAGACTGAACCCCTGGCGTTCAGCAACATCATCTCTGTACCTGACAACTGCCTTGGGCTGCCAGACCAGGGTCCAAAGGGAAGCGCTCCTGGCCTCAAGGGGTGTGGAGGCCAGTGGTGGCTGTGGGGGGCCCTGCTTGGGGGAGCCTCCTGACCCCTGAGTCCACCAGGCTGCCAGCCCAGATCACGAGCACACCTGGGGTTGAGCTCAGCTTGGAGTGACCTCAAACAGGGCAACCTAGAATCCCTCACTGCCGTAGAAAGTGAGACCACAGTGCACCACCATGCTGTTTCCCAGGACACTCAGAAGCCATCCGGGAGAGCAGCTGGGACATGGGGGTGGAAGCCAGAGACACAGAGCATTTTTTAGGCAGAACACTACTTACACGGACTGTTAAAATTGTCAGCTTGCACTGGTCTTTACAACGGATTGAGCATCTAGTTGTGTTTTTCTCCCAATGGGGTAAGGCTTGTGAAGTCACGTTAGCTGCAAAAGTAACCTAGATTTTCTCTGCATGTCTCATCTGTGGTCAGGCTAGAAGGAAAAGACCAATTGGGCCATCGGGGAGTAACTCTTGGAGGCAGCAGTGTTCCCTGGGCCCTAGAGCTCCGCTTCTCAGGTGCGGTTCCGCAACCACCTGTATTGTATCTCTGGGGGTAGGTAATTAAAACACAGATTCTTGGACCTGTATTGTATCTCTGGGGGTGAGTAATTAAAACACAGATTCTTGGGCCAGGTGCAGTGGCTCAGGCCTGTAATCCCAGCACTTTGGGAGGCCGAGGTGTGCAGATCACCTGAGGTCAGAGTTCAAGACCAGCCTCACAAACATGGAGAAACCCCATCTCCACTAAAAATATAAAATTAGCAAGGCTTGGAGGCGCATGCCTGTAATCCCAGCTACTAAGGAGGCTGAGGAAGGAGAATCACTTGAACCCGGGAGGCAGAGGTTGCAGTAAGCCGAGACTGCACAATTGCACTCCAGGCTGGGCGACAAGAATGAAACTCTCAAAAACAAACAAACAAACAAAACCCCAAAACAAACCCAGCAACAACAATAACAACAAAACAACAAAACACATATTCTTGTCCCTCTGCCTCAGGCTGATGCAGACTCTCTGGAGGGCTGGGTGGACATCCAGATTTTACCAAGCATCCCAAGGGGTTCTGTGGTGGCCTGGGAACCACTGTGTTACAAAATGAGAGGGGCTCTGGGTTCACAGAGAGAGGGGTGCAAGTGGGAGACAGGGGGATGAGGCCGTCTGGTCAGCTGGGGCTTCCTGGGGCTCTAGACACACGCTAGAAGCATGGAACACAGGACTGATGTGAAAGGTAGGATCCTCTCCTCTATGTGACCCCAAAGTCATAAATTCCAGGCTGCTCTAGAAAAAGGTCTGCAGGAGCCTCAAACACGGGGCTAATAGGAAACAAAAATCCAAATGGGAGATGGAAGTCTTCCGTGTCCCTGCGGTCCTCCACTGGCTGGGATAACTGGCTGCTGCCTCCTCTCTGAGTTACTCCCAGTCATTTGTATGTAGAAGATGTGCACTTTGCACAGGAAAAACTCATGCAAAATTAGAATGTGTGAATACTGATAGAACCATCGTAATTCTGCTCCCGTCAGCTACACGAACATTAACCAAACAGCAAATATTTGGATCACTTAGTTTAATCAAATGAATGTTTTATTGGGTTTAATTTGTGTCAATATTCCCCAGCTCCTTTCGAAATCCTGAAGGGATTTATGGCTCCTGAGGCCTCTCCTTCTACCCTCACTCCCAGTTATTTCCTGGTCAACAAGCCTCCCCCTGGCAAGTCCTCCTTCCTTGCTTAGTGGCAAGAACAGGACTAAGTGGCCTCCCAGGGTGACTTCCAGGGAGAGTAAAAAATGAGACAATATCATGTGCTGGGCCTGCAGGCCGGGCTCTGCTGCAGACAAGCTCAGGTGTCTTCGCAGCTCCCTTCCTGTCACTGGGCCTCAGTTTAGACATGGATA